CTGTCTATCTGCGATCTATAAATCTTTTACAATCGTAAAGGCTAGCACCCTGCTAATAATAATATCTGCAAAGCAATATTACAAGCAAGTATCACAGTCATTACTGCTGGAATGCCGCACATTAAAATTTTTAATTGCTATTAAATTATCAAATTACCTTCGCCATGTGCAATTTTGTATTATATTTATTTATTATATCACGAGATAAGCAATTTAGAAATTTGGCTCGTGCTGGCGGTATAATCGGACACCAAACCATAATAAATGCATGCACAGATAACATGTACAAAAGCAAATACGATATACATATATATATTTATTTTACAATGCAAAAAGCGTGCAATTTATTTTGAATTATTTTTTTTTTTTTTCATAACAGTCGAACAGCCAGACATAAATCCCATTCGGTCATTAAATCAGGGGAAACAAATACGTACAGTCAGTGCCGCCTCACGTTTTTTACAATCTGCAACCAACGACGATTCAGACAATTGATGGAGGTGAATACACGGGTACTTGAAGAGCAATTAGCGAGGTCGCAAGGTGGAAAATGGAGAACAGAGCAATTACACAATTAAAGCTACAAATGCGAATTATGCGTCGAATGTGAAAGAAAGAAAAAAGAGAGAATATCTTTTTTTATTAATTCTTACAATAATACAGTTTAAATATTGTCAATATTTATGACCGCTAATCAATCAATAGTGTTGAGAAATGTTTGACCACGAACGAGTGCATACCTTAATGGTGGCCGTACTTGGGGGAAAAATTATTACATACACACATTCGTAGCTGTAAAAAACATAATAATATACATAAAAGCGTGTAATTGGCGTTTGGAATGTTCAGTTAAGTCAAGGGATTTAAGTTGAATGCAGACATGCAATGCTTAGAATTCGATTAAATATTAGTATGTTTAATAGGTTATTATTTACATTGTAAATTGAGAAATTGTTGATTGTTCTGTCGAATGCAATAAACACTTTTTTTATTACGTAATATAATAGAATTATGCACATAAATTCCTTTGTTTTTACATAATACAATACGTTTTATGCTTATGGGAATTGAGCTATTTTACGACAGCTTTAAGGTTATACTGAATTTTTTTTCTTGTTGTAGTTGTTGTTGTTGTCGATAGTGTGGCAGTTCTCCGCTTAGGCTCAGTCAAGACTGATTTCAAGCCATTGAGCACATCTAACGGAAGGCCCAGAAAAAGAGTTGTTTCGCTGGGTTTGGACAGGCAAAGGGGTAGTTAGTGTCGTGCGGTGTCATTATTGCATGTATGTTGTATAAATCAGGATCAAGTCTGGATGTGTAGAAATTAAGTTGACTACAATATATATTGGATGAGTGCATAAGTTCGTGCCCGATTTCAAGTGCAACTAAAATTGAAATTTTTTGAAGAAAGCGCTTTTATTAATCAATTATGTATTCGCCATCATGTTCGGCAATCCACTCCCAATGTTCAACCAATTTACGGATGCCTGATTCATAGAAATCGCGCGGTTTCTCGTTGAAAAAGGTGTCAAGGTGGTTTTTGACGTCTTCCACATTTTTAAATTTTTTTCCATTCAAATTGTTCTGCAGCGATCGAAACAAATGATAATCAGAAGGTGCAATGTCGGGTGAATATGGGGGATGCGGCATGATTTCCCAATTCATCTCCTTCAGTTTGGCCAGGGTCGGTTTTGCAACATGTGGCCTGGCGTTGTCATGATGGAAAAGAACTCCTTTGCGATTGGCCAAAATCGGACGTTTTTCATCAATTGCTTTCTTCAATTCGACCAATTGCTGACAATACTTGTTGGCAGTGATCGTTTCTCCAGCTGGCAAGAGCTCAAAATAGATCACGCCTCGGATATCCCACCAAATGCACAGCAGTACCTTCATCGGATGCAATCCACCTTTCGACATCGGTTCCGCCCCTTCGTGTGCCTGTTTCCATGTTCTTTTGCGTTGAACATTGTTGTACAGGATCCATTTTTCATCACCAGTCACGAGCCGATCCAAAAAAGGTTCGTTTTTGATCCGTCGAAGCAAAGAAATTGCTGTTGACATACGGTCCACTTTGTTTTTTTCACTCAACTGATGTGGCACCCATGTATCGAGCTTCAAAGTGTACCCAACCTTTTTTAAACGACGAAACGCAGTTGATTTGTTGACGTTCAATTCACTGGCAACCTCTTCCGTCGAAATACGTGAGTTATTCGCAACTAAAGTCCTTAGAACATCGTCATCAAGCTCAGAAGGCCGTCCACTGCGAGGTTGATCTTCGAGGTTAAAATCTCCAGAACGAAATTTCGCGAACCATTTCTTTACTGTGCGGAGTGCTGGAGCACGGTCCAAATAAACTTCGCGAATATCTTTAGTTGCAGCGCCTACTGTTTTTCCTTTGCGGAATTCGTATAACATAATATGACGCATATGATCTTTTTCGTTGTCCATCTTCCATGCGTCTTTTCACTAAGCAACTCAAATCAAAATGAAGTTATTTTATGCTTGATTTACAGTTCGGACTGTCACCTTTCCAACGATATATAATATGTATATATTTCTTTCACGAGCGCCACTCTCAAACGATTCGAACGGCATCCAGCGGAATCGGGCACGAACTTATGCACTCATCCAATCATGTCAGCTATTCATCAGAGAGCTTGATAGTACCTGCCGAGGGACGACCGCAAATTATATATGAATATAGATATATATAATAGACACTTTGTAAAAGCCAACGCGATATTTCGGCCGAGCTCCTTTTCCAATTTGTGGTTTTGCCTCTTGATTTTTTTCCAATTAATGTAGAGACCGACAGTTTATATTAAGCCGCCTCCGAACGGCTGATGGTTTCTTTTTACGAGAAGCCTTTATTTCATGTTTGAAATACACTCGGAGGGGTGGACTTTCCCTGCCGAGCGGTTACCGCAATTAGAATATTTATCTTGATTTTTTATTTAAATTACCGCAAATTAAATATAATTTTCTATAATTTTAGATCAGGACTCGGACCCAGAATGGCAGTATGCAATACTAAGCACTCGGATATTGCGTCCTACTGTAATCTCCATATTTTAATTGTGTTAGTATAAATCAAATCTCAAGTGACAGCTCAAGCTCTTCGTCTGCAATAAACGTTTGCTTGGATTCCTATAACGCTATTCATTGGTGGAGCGTTCATGAAGATATTAACAGACTTTCGATGAATGGTATTTATGCCATCCAAAGGTTCTGGTCTATAGTGCTGAATGGAGTCCGTGTTCTCTAGTACTCCCCTCCCAGTAAATGCTGCTGGGATGATCTCAATGATAGCTTCCTAGCAGATATTGCTTGTACAGCATGACATTATACTCCTTAACCCTTACCCTTAAAGAAAGTTTTAACTTCTTTACTAAGATCTGCAGGTAAGTTGAGAAGAAGCACAATAGAGCGTCACCTTGTTTGAAACCTTGTTTGGAGAGAGGTCTTCCACAATTCTAATGGTGGATCTGGTGCAGATCAGCATCGGTTTTTACAGCAATATAAATCAATAAAAAGGTGATAGATTCGTTCCTCTTGAATGTTTCCGAACATTTGGCATACGAAATTGAATCTAAAGGCGAACCCTCATTTTTTTTAATACCCTGGAGACAATTAGCCACTCAGCTTAAGGTACAGACTCTTTAAGAAGTATAATCAAGTTGATTGTTTGTTTGATGTCTTGGTTGGTTAGTTGATTTAATGGATAAGTTGAGGACCTGATTGGAAGCGGCTGCCTTTAGCTCAAGGAGTAGGCTCTTATTTCGCTCGCTATCATAAACTGATTAAATTTCTTCCAACCAAATGTGTCCATATCTATAAGACTAGTGCTAAAAGTATCGTGATGAAAGCCGGAAACTGACAAATGAAGTGTTCGTTTCTATGTAGGCTCTGTCAATCAATTAAGTACTACTTTTTGAGATGGAAACAGGTAACTGTTTGCACACTAGTATTTTAGTGTTACGTCGACCAGTTACAGGACCTTCCCAGTTTCTGCATGGTCTACCGCAGCAGACAATATTTGAAGGCGCTCAAAGAGCTGGAGCAGTCAACGGTGACAGCCTCGTCATACAGTTTGTCCGTCTTTTCATTGCCTTATTTATCCGTCTTACGTGCACCCTATTGATGTTAATTGTGTTTTCCCGCAAATTGCTATGTTCTCATGCTTTGGATTTTATGTTGACAAAATTAATTGCTTTGATTACCACTTGGCTGTCTACCATAAGTCTGATAGATTTTTCACTACTTCGAAGACAGAGCTGTATTCACGAAGTTTGCAGCTAACTTGTTTACTGGGTCGGTCACAGAAGGATCCATCACTATGGTACGGTAATCTTAAATGTTATCGATGGAACCGCCTATTGTCTATTATTCTTCAGGAGGAAGGAAGTAGGCGATATACGAGTATACCCGACAGAAGATTTTCGCTTCTAAATCACGTTTTGCATTTAACCCGGGTTCTGACAGAATTTTCTGTATACAATAAATTCTTCAAAATTCGGATACTGGATTCAATTGTCAAGAACATTTAGGTGGCTTTGATATTAAAGTTGCATCATAAATTTTTTGATTGGTGAGGTAATACGCATAGCGACTGCTACAAACAGTAAATAGGTACTTGACACTTGTACCAAAGGTTTAATCCGATTTATATGTGTAAAGCCAATGCAATGTTTGACGCCCTCATTTCGAGGCAATAGCTCTTCTGCAGGTATTTCTATTTCGAAGGCTGGCATTGCTGTCAATATGTTCCTTCCGGCTAAGTATTTTTATTTTATAATGTCACCTCATGTAAATGATGTCTTGAAGTTATGAACATTTTTTTCTCGAAAAGAGCCAGGCCTCACTCCAATGATTACGATCACTGCTCGGTTCATACTTCGACTCTTTGAATACAAATGAATTTGTAATAACCATTTTTTCAACAGCCTTTTTATATCCCTCATTTTCGACTAATCATATATAAAAATCTCATATCCTTACAGACACAGCGCAAAGGATGGACGCCGCTCCTGGCCTTGGTTTGCTTTGCAACTACTTGGGGCACTGCGATACCGGTTGGCTATTGTTTGGGTGTCATGAATACACCTGCAGAGGTATGTCGTATGGAAAAAACCTAAAAAAAATTTTTTTTTTACATATTTACATAAATATGTTAATTTATTTTCAGTTTATTAAATCCTGGTGCCTTGATGCTTTTGCGATACGTTATGGTGAAGAATTGAGCTCCTCACAGCTCGATCTATTGTGGTCGGCAATTGTGTCTATATTTCTTATTGGTGGGATTTTTGGTTCATTTGTAGCTGGTGGATTTTGTAATCGATTTGGAAGGTAAGTTCAATTATATATCGTTGTAGTTGTTGGTAAAGCAAGTTGAAAAATTTAATAGTACAACAACAACAGTATTGTCGCAGTGCTTAAAGCACGTTCTGTTGTTCTCTCCCATCAAAACGAATACTGGTGAGAAGATGTAGTGATCTCCTCAACAGTTATCACATCTATCAATTTTCTGTTTTTAGTCAACTTGAAAAGTTCCTTTACCCATTGATAAAAGTTGGCGTTAAATCAATTAATTTCTACGAAAATCATATCTACAAGGTCTTTCTTGTTACCCATTTAATGTAGGTATTTCTGAAGCTCTCCATAACCAGACATTTGAAGTCTCTCTTTTTACAATTTTTGCCCGAGTTTTTAAAGTTTTCCTAACTTTGTAGCCCTGCTATTTCTCTATTCTGGAGTTCAGTTGACTTTTGAGCTTTCAAGTTCTTCGAGGTAAAGTAGGAAGCTCAGTATTTAGTAATAACGGAACAATAGAGAACACTACAAAACAAAAATTTCCTGTTCTCAATTAATGAGGTATCTACTCATAGCTCATAAAAATCAAACTGTCGTTCGGGGGTGGCTTGGAATAAACTGTATATCTCGTCATTCGTACCACAAAGTGGAGGAGGCAAAGAAGTGTTCGCTGACTTTCCCTATTTTGGAAGAAAATTTTTCTCTATTGAAAATTAATAATATTGATCATTATGTCACTTTTGTGTGTAGTGCTTTGTGGTTTTTCGGCCAAATGATTTTCAGCGGCTTTTCGGTCGACCAATTTTTTTTTGCCATCGAGAGAATTTATTCAATACTGCAACAAATGATAGTTAAATGGCGCAAGGTCCGACCTAAATTGTGGTTGGACCGAAAGTTCCCCAAAAAGCTCTTTCAATTTCTGCCTGTTTATCGAAGATGTGTATGCTCAGGTGTTGTCAATATGAAACACAACACCTTTTCTATTGATCAATTCTGAACGCTTTTTCGGAAGAGCTCAGTGCTTAGAGAGAGTTTGGCAGCTCATAATGGACAATTCCTTTCCAATCCCGCCATATACTCAGAATTACCTTGTTTTTCGTCAATTCAGACTTAGTCGTTACCTGCATTTTACAATTGCTTTTTTGGTTTTATATCCTTTATTTAACACATTTTTCATCACCTGTGATAAGTCGCTTCCGAAATTATTCGGTTTTGTCGCGTTTCATAAGCCTTTCAACGACAATCAATTTCTTTTTTGCCCTAATTCATGTGATACCAAAACATCGAGCTTCTTTGAGTGGCCAACCTTCTTTGAATGATTCCAAAGTATTACATGAGCAATGCCTAATATCTCTGCTTTCTCCAGACGGTTTGCATGCCACAGTTGCTCCACCAGTTGTAGAATTTCATCGACTTTTTAAATAAGTGGGCGAATGAAGTGCATTTTTTGCTTCTAAATTTTAAGAGTGGAATCGAGCAAACCACACCTGGGTTCACTTACATAATTCTCATCGTAAACCACACATATTTCTCTCTTCTAGCTTCTATCAAAAATAGTGTCACATAACGAATTCTGCACGAATAATAATGCGTGAAATTTCTACATTCAAACAAGTGTTACTTTTACACAATCGGATTAGTTGCCGTTTTCCTGTAAAAAAAAACGCACAGTTGGCATATTTTCAACTGGCTTATAATTTACTTTAGAAAAAAACTAGTATTGACGAAATAAGAATAAAAACAACATCTAGTGAAATAAACCTTGGATATGCCAACAAGTGGTTTGATTTTGGTAATGAAATTCCGGATCATTTTCATGCATTTAAGGGATCAAATCAGCAAGCACACGACGTGATTGATGATGGGCCGGCTTGAGTTCTTGTATTAACTGAACTTTACAAGCCTTAAATATCCAAGTCTTTAAACAACAGACGATGTAATGACGTTTGTAGTATGCTTTGGGATACAACTGCGATATTCTCAGTTGTACTCGATCGACATTCACGTCCTTTATGAACTTGGAGCTGTTAGTAGCTCCATTTTTTCCTCAAATTTCTGTATCACGGTCCGAGAAGATGCCTTATAATGATCTAAAAATGTTTTTTGTTTTAAGGTTTGTTTATTGAAATTGAAAATAGAGTAGAGCAGCTCATGTTCGAGCAGAATAGCGCAAAGAAAAATAATAGAGCAAGTTAGAGCAACTCGGAGCAAAAAGCTCATGAAACATTTTTCGGGTAACAATTTTCAAATGGGAATGTTTGACTTTTCTGTTGTCAACAAAATAGAAACGTTTAACAATTTTTTCCATATATTTCTTAATGAAATTTATAATTTTTAACGTCACTTGTATTTAAGTCATTTGCTGTCCCTTTCTTACATTTTGCCCGCTTTCGTTTTCTAAGCTCGTCTGTTAAAAAAAATCTTATTGCTTGCTCCAAGTTACTCAACCAAAAAAGTCAGAACAGAAAACTGTGATCTGAGTTGCTTTATTTCTGCTTAGAGCAGACTCATGAAACAAAGAGTAGAGCAAAAAAGCTGTCATGAAACACAATTTCTCGAAATAAAGTAACCTGGGTGCTCAATAAACAAACCTATAATTTCAATGCGTTATTGAAACGTGTATCGCTCCATTTTTTTTACTGTCATAGTTTTTACTTGTCAAATGTCAGAAAATTACAGTTTCAAAAGTGACATCCACCGGAATACCGGCTATTCAAAATAGCACCCTTTAATGATAAACCCTTTATCTGGTTCAATTGCTCGGTTGAGTTGAGAAACCTGAAGTTCCGGGTATGGTAATGAGATAGTCATGTGGTAGTACCAGCTGATTCCAGAGACACCTATTTTGGGTCGAAAGTAATTTTATTTAACTAAAGTCATCGAAATTCAAACTTCGAAAACAATTTTTATAGTCTTTGAAGCTAAAGAACTATTTCATTTAGTACACGTCGACATTATATGTATTTTATTTATATTTTCTCATTCACAGAAAGGGAACTCTGCTAATTAGTGCATTTCTATTGACACTATCCGGCATTCTGTTGCACTTTTGTCGCATGACAACCTCGGTGGAGATGCTCTTGATTGGTCGCTTCACTATCGGCGTTGCGGCCGCTTTCATCTACACCGTACATCCAATTTACCTGCTTGAGATTTCGCCCACGCATCTACGCGGCGCGGCGGCTGTCTTCACATCGATCGGTGTTACTGGCGGCATTTTTGTGGGGCAAATCTTTAGTTTACAACAGATTTTCGGTACCGAGGAGCTCTGGCAATTCGCACTCAGTTTCTTTACGGTCTTCGTGGTTGTTAGCTTTTTGCCAGTTTACTGGTATCCAGAATCACCACGTTGGCTTTATTTGATGCGTCAAAATGAGCAGGCTGCACGTTATGAATTGCAACGTTTGCGCGGCAAGAATTCCGAAGATTGTGTAAATAATGAAATTGCCGATATGAAAGAGTTGGCGACGTGTACGAGTGGCGAAGGCGTTGGATTTTTTGCGGTCGTTAAGAATTCCGAATATTTATTACCGCTAGTAATCTGTTGCTCGTTTCCCTTGTGCCAACAGTTGAGTGGCATTAATGCGATATTCTTCTATTCGGTGCGTATCTTTATGAAGGGCGGCTTTTCACTGGAGATAGCCACGTGGATGAATTTTGGTGCGGGATTCTTGAATTTGGTATTCGCCAGCATAAGTCCGGTAATGGTGCAAAAGTTTGGACGACGCACGCTTATGATGTTCTCAGCGGGCGGTTGTGGATTGTCGCTTTTCGGTATGGCTTTCGCCTTAAATTATATTGTGAGTATACACATACATATCTATGTACGTTAGCTAAGCATACATATATATGAATTCTATCATACACTTCTACTACTTCTTTGTATTGTAATTTTCGTCTCATTATTATTATTTTTTTTTTCATTAACCAAATTCGTTTTCCTGCTCATCTCATAGGACCTCGTTAGTTGGTTGCCCATTCTTTGCATAGTCTTCATTGCCGCCTTCATATTCTTCTTCAATGTGGGCTTGGCGCCTGTTCCGTATTTCGTGGGCGCAGAACTCTTTGAAGTTGAGACGCGTTCGGTGGCCATGTCCATGGGCAACATCTTTTCGTGGAGTGGCAATTTCGTGATTGGTATGTTCTTCCCTATGCTGGAGGCTGTTTGGGGCTCTTATGCATTCCTACCCTGTGCGGCGATGTGTCTATATTGTTTCCTGCTGACGTGGCGTTATCTACCCGAGACTCGCGGTAAAGATGTGGCGGACGTTAGACCGCTCATGGCTAAAGGTTTCCGTTCGAAGGTGCGTTAGTGGAGGATATTTAATTTTAAGAAAACTCTTATTATAAAAATAACATTGTATAAAGTCAATAGTGCGCATACGCGTACATATTTAGTTATACATATATGTATTTAATTTATTCTGATAATAAGTACATTGTTTCGCAGATATGTAGATGTTGTTCAGTATAAATTTAAGGTCTCAATTAATGTATGTATGTAAACACCAAAAGTGGGTTACACATGTTTCCTTTGCTATATGTAGATATGTATATACTTATATATTTATTTATTCCTTCCGAAAGGCACAAATTTTATTGTCGCAAATTTCTCAAGCAATTCAAATTTGCATATTGTTAATTTAATATATATATATGTATGTATGTATGCTAGTGATTGTAAGTAGGCTGTTATTTGTCAAAAAAAAAAGTTTTTTTTAAATTAAAATATATTGTACATATGTATGTAGCTATAAATAGTCAAAATGATTTATTTTATATGGTTGTGAGTTCATGTCGATGAAAAGTGAAAAGAAGCTCAGCTATTATTATGGACAAATTTCATTCAATTGCCGCAGGCACCGCTTAAGGGATTAAAGCCGGATCTACAGAATACAATTTTTTCGAGCTAGTACCTGAAACCAGATCGCAAAGGTCACTACAATTTAACGTTTCAAGTCATGAATCATCTCTAGACAATTGTCGTCGCTCCTACAAAGGAGGGTTTTTATGTTCGCGGAATGAGAGATAAAGGGTGGAAATAAAAAAAAACCAAATTATTTTTCCTATACAATTTATTCACCTGCAAGAAAAATACATTTTTCAGAACTTGCAATTAATTTGTTTATATCCTCATAAAAAAAAATGTTTGCTGTTTAACTTCAAAAAAGTTGGAACTGCTTCCTGGACTTAATCATCGTGAAACATTTTTATACCTCAGCAATTTTTGGTGATTTCAGATAATAATCACTCGGGGCCAGGACTGGATTGTCAGCTCACCTTATGCAAGACAGCTCGTGCAATACAGTTTGTCCGCGGACCGACGTAACGCGATCTAGCATTGAAACGTAGTATTTGCCAATTATAGCAATCCCTTAATCTTTATAGTGGATCAATAATATTCCTTTCGAATCGCAAAGGTACGTTGCCCAGCAGACTGTAACACTTTGAACTCCTTGGGCGGTGGAGCTGTGCCCTTTTTAACACTGCACGGAGTTTCGTTTGAACTGATAATGATGAATACCAGTTAAGTCTCCAGTAATAATTAAACTCAATACACCATCCACCTCTTGAAAAGTGAGTTTCAAAAATACATGTGAACTCTCTACGCGCTGTTGATATTGCGGAGGCGTGAGCATTGTCGGCGCCCAACCTGCACATACCTTAGACATGCTAAAATGATCGTGCAGGATTTTACTTCAACCATTTCTGCAAGAAGTCTTTTCTTCAGTCGCGCATCATCGAGGACAATTTTTTAAACTTTTTCGATAATTTCCGGCGTGTTCACCGGACAAGAGTTATTTACGGCAACTCGCAATTACCTTCATGGACACAACTGATTTATTTTACTTGGTAAGAAACTTTATGACGGCAAGATTATTTTTGACTTTCTCCATATTTCACATTTCACTCCCAAATATGTCGCTTGGTTAACGATAGCTCAAAGGCAAATTGCCTAAAAACAATGAAACTTCGTATATGCATATTGTTTAGTTTTCCGAAACGATAAGCCAGCAATTAAAATGTATGGCCATAAATTCATATGCTGTATGACATTTATAGGCCAGGCAATAAAAATTAAAGTACAAACAGATGTCCATATACACATACTCATGATATGAATATTGATACTTGATGCCTTTACAACAACATAAGCATCTATGTATACTGATGTTCTTATCATGAATATGTAAAGCAATAAAAATTAAAACATAAGATAAGATTATCTATTCGTGGGTAATCTTCTAATGTAAACATACTTATGTACACATATGCATGCATGTAAATTTTCACATTACAAATTTATATAAATAAACGCTCTACAGATTGTGGAGTCAGTTATACTTAAACCAAGTGAAAGTAAAGTGATTTAATTCCCGCCTCAACACATATATTATTTCAGAGTCACTGAACACGTTGCAATCATAATGAGCCTAGTCTCCTCCCTACAACATTCTTCTCCTCCTCTCCATAAAAAAATAGTCCAACAGAGTCAAGTCGTAGCTGCGAGGAGGTCTGTTGACATCGCCGTGGATAGTAATTTTGTGTGTAATTTTCTTACGTTTGCAGGCTCACCATTTTGAAGGTAAGTTTTCAATACTTTCCACTCTTTTTCAAGCCTTAATTTAACCGTTTCATAGAGCGCAAGCCTTGTACACATTAATTGACTCATCAGGAATGTCATTAATGATCTCAAATATGTCGTAAAACTACCCACTCTTTATATGGCGAACATTTTATTACAGCTTATAGTTTTTCAAATTAAATCTATATCTCAAAAATCGACTGACTAAATAGAAAAAAGACCGAAGACTGCCGATAAACAAGAGACGGAGATGTGTCTGCGGCACATGAGCTGAAAAGTCACAAGTCTAATGAGGAAAACGCGGTTTTTGTTTCGAACAAAATCGTTCAACGTATCATCAAAGTGGACAGAAATTCATTCCAGTTTACTTCTAATATTTCAAAATCACCTTTATAACATTTTATGCATATTTCCCTTTAAAAAGGGCGCCAGTTTTTGCAACAAACTCTGCGTTCCAACAAATTTTCTTATCAGTGAGCTTTTTTGTCTTGATGATAGGAAATTTTCTCCTTGTCATATTTGTCATTCTTTGCAATTTTGGTATTCAAACGCTCCAATAACGCTAAATAATAGTCACCTTTGACGGTATTTCTCTCCTCAAGGTATTCGATAAAATATTACTAGCCGTTCGTTGTGCTTTCAGTTCTTTTAGAGATGAGTTCCCCAACTATTGTTCACTCAGATGACAAACGTTTTAATTCCGGCGTAAAGTGTTTCGGGCATTGTCAATTACGATCATTAACATATTCTTGCTTTTGTTTAACAGTACGCAGTACCAGTGACACCTACTTTCAAAAGAGCTTTCTCTTAATTCTTGCAATAAAAAGTCAACGCTTGCTTTAGATACATATGTACGTTGTCAGCAAGTTTACTTTTCCATCATTCCAAATGATTTTGTGAATTTTTGTGGGGTTTTTTGGAGTTAACTTTTCATTTGGATGTTCTGAAACTAATTTAAAATGTTCAAATGCCGACCGACTAGCAGAGTCCTTATAACGAATTTCATGCCATTGCTTCTTTTCGATTTTGTTTGAAGGGTTGTACTGATGGAAAAATGGGTTGTGTTGTTAAGCTCGAGACTTTTCGGTATAGGTGTTAGATTATAATACTTTTTTAGGTTCAAGAAAACCAAATATACAAAAAACTTTTATCTCGACGTGTTATCTGAAGGACGCTTGCCAAGATCAATAAATCCATAAATAAGGTGTTGTTTTTTAAAATTCGGATTATTAATATATTGATAATATTAGAATTAAAGCTATTCACCTAACTTACAATTTGAGCGGAATAATACATATATCAGGTGTACAGCTTTGCTTCCGCCGTTTTTTTCCGAAAATTAAAAGCTTTATTGCGAAAAAGTGCTTACAGATATATTATTCAAAGTATTGTCTTTCGCTAGCGACAACTTTCTCCCTTTCCGGCAATTTTCGGATCCCGGCTCGAAAAAAGGAGTCCTCTATTGACGCTATCCATGAACCAATGCATTTTTCCAATTCTTCGAAGGATTAAAAATGTTTATCTGCCAGGCCGTGTGCCATCGAACGGAATAGGTGGAAGTCAGAAGGGGCGACATCTGGGGAATACGGCGGGTGGGGCAAGACTTCCGATTTCAACGTTTCCAAGTACTTTTTGACCACTTTTGCTCGATGTCCCTCGGTTTTAATTCGTACGGCATCCAGTTTCCTTGAAATGGCTTGCTGACTCATTTCCAACGATTTCGCAAGCTGTTCTTGGGTTTGGCACGAATCTTCATCAAGCAATGCTTCTAGTTTTTCATCTTTGAAGGTTTTTTCTCTTCCACCACCATGTTTGTCTGCGACATCGAAATCACCATTTTTAAAACGTTGAAACCACTGCCGACACGTTCTTTCACTCAGAGCAGCATCACCGTAAGTTTCTGAGAGCATTCGATGCGCTTCAGCTGCATTTTTTTTTCAAATTGTAACAGAAAAGTAAAACTTCCCGCAAATGACGAGAATTAGGCACATAAACGGACATTTTCGAGCGTGAATAATACGAAAACAAGAACAACTGTCACTGAAAAGGCGATAACAATTCGTTAGGCACTGTCCACACTCACTTTAAAGGCATTATCATCTATGTATTTCAACCAGCATCAGCCGGTACAGCCACCTACCTGATAGCAGGGTTAACAAATCACTCAGTAATTCGGCATATTCTGCCAAAACAATCGTATAATTCGTGAAGGTTAAAATTTATGAATATGAAATACCTTTTTTGATCTAGAGGATGTATTATAACTTGTTAGTATGATTATCGAGTGTTGTTGAGTGTGAAAGCAAACTCCTGCGGGATCGCAAACTTAAAGTTGTTAAGACTGGAATACACCGCTCGCATATTGAAGACTCTACGATCCATCGCTACATAAAAGGGTTATTGTAAATGTCAAAATCTCTGGAAGAGTAGCGAGGTGTACTTTTGCTCCCACCAATCGGTCAAACATAACGGCTAACATGCTGGAAAACTCAACAGTACAGCTCTCTATCGGTAATTCCCACCTGCGCTTCATTTAACAAATTACGAAGTGGAAAATACCTCACTGTTTTTATTCTGCATTTGATATTGATATCGTTGATTTAATCAATACTCTACTTGTAATACTTATTTTTAGAACTTTCTATCTGTTTTATCATACAATATTAATACTAATATTAATATTATTATTTTTTTCTGCTTCATAAAAACTTTTATTAATATGCCTATAATTAGCATATTATATCAAATATACTCATCTGAGCAAATCTATTTAGGAGTGAATTCCACATTAGGAATGTTCGTTTGAAGAAGTCCGAGAGTACTAGTAACTAGTACGAGGAGTGATAATGTGCTCACCAAGAGTTTCCTTCAATAAATTGATTTTTCGTTGGCTGTAAGGTATGTAGCGTTGTCTTGTTGTAACCAGAGGTTGCCCTCATCAACATGCGACCATTCAAGCATGAAAAAGTCATTAATCATTGGTTGTATGATAATAAATATTTAAATTTTTTTGAACAAATATCAATGATTCCCTCTGCCCATAGAGCACACCAAACACTGACTTTTTTGGGATGTAAAAGCCTTTTAGTTTTGGGCCCATT